ATATTTTCTCTGCACAAACACTCTCCTATACATGTTTACACTTCACATGAGTTCACATGACTAAACATGGTCCTACGGAAAACAAACAATACGTTCACATGTAAGAAAAGGACAAGGCTCTTGGTTGCATATGGCTTTTCTGATGGTGTTCTGTTGCATGGCTTGGTTGGTTTTTGTGCCAGCGGAGATTCCTTCACATGCTGCCTTTGGCTTTTTAGATGAGGGACATGCATATCTTTAGTTCCAAAGATGCAAAGGTTTTGACAGTTTTGTGTCCTTTTGGTTTTGTCTTTGGTCTTTTACAAAAGCGGAAATTTTTCTTCGGCTAAAAATGAATTTACACAAGAAAATATATCCCTAAACAATTTAGGAAAAGAACAAATAAACCATGGATTAGAAAGTATAGAGTACCCAATAAAAGTACATGCAAATGTTATCTTTGTGGTGAAGTAGGACATATTAGACCTAAATGTCCCAAATTAGGAAAACAACCTAGAGAAAAAAATACAATCCAGATAAACTAGAAGATAAAAAGCAATTACAAGCATTTTTAGGTTTATTAAATTATGCTAGAAGCTTTATCCCTGATTTAGGATTTTTGGACAATAATGCCCTTATGTAGTCTTGGATTGCCGAATGAATCCTTTTGCTTCTGCTAGCCGTATGGATCCAAAATATTTCTTCTAAATCCGTATGGACTCAAATAGTTTGGCGGCTATTCTTGCTGGGATGATCTCTTTGCATGGAGATGAGATTGATGATGCTTCACATGGTTTTCAAGCTTCCATCATGTTATCTATGTTATGTAGTTCTTCTTTTAAAAAAAGATCACAGTATCTATGAGAAGCGTATAGCCGCGCAGCTGGCTATACTCTTTTTTTAAATAAAAAATCCAGAGTGTAGCCGCGAGGCTATACTATATATATAGATGACCTGCGGCGGCTATCACCTAGCACTTGGAGCCCAGCGCGTGTTTTAGTAAAAAGAGTAATGCCGCCCGGGTATACTCTGTAAACATATTTTTTTCCAACGTATAGCCGGGCGGCTATACCCATTTAATAGCATAATCTGAACGTCTCTTTTTTATTACTTTAAATAGTAGTTATGTTTTAATTATTATTTACTTAGTGAACATTGAAAATAACTGCGCGGCTATTCTATTTATAAAAATAAAAATAAAAAAAACGCAATAACGCTGACCGGCTATACCGCTTTTATATATTTTAAAAAAAACAATGCGAGAATAGCCGCACGGCTATACTATTTACTTTTAAAAAACGAAAACTGCCTGTCGCCTAGCACCTAGTGCGGGTTTTTTTTTCTCAGTATAGCCGCTCGACTATACCCAATTAATAGCACAATCTAAATTTCTCTTTTTTAATTACTTTAAATAGTAGTTACGTTTTAATTATTATTTACTTAGTGAATAATTAATATTTAAATATTTAAATATATTTTATTTTTATTCAATAATGTGTAGGGGTGGGCATTCAAACCGGCAAACCGGAAATCCGAGTCGAACCGCACCGAAAAAAAGGGGAAAAACCGAGTTGACCAAAAAGTCAACAATCGGTCAAAAACCAAACCGGACCGGTTTGGACTGGTTTTGGATTAGTTCTATGTCTTCAAAAACTAGACTGGGCCAAACCGAACTGGTCAAATTAAAAAATATATAATTTTAATATTTATTTATATTCAATACTATATTTTTAATCTCATAACTAATATTTATCCAAGTTCAATTTCAAAACATCTCTCTTTTCTATCTTTAATATTTATATTTATATGAAATTAAATGATTTATTAATTTTCAAGTCAAAAAAATAAAATTTCAGTTGAAATTTGTATTAAAAAATAATTTTAATAATCCGGTTCAAAACTAAACTGGACAGTTTTTGAAATTTTTTTGTTAAAACCAAATCGAACCAAACCGGATGAATAGTACTGGATTCCGTTCTAATTTGAGGCAAAAACCGGTCCAAAACGGACCGTGGCCACCCTTAATTGATACGCGATTTTTTTTTTTTTTTGGTTGTGTGTGTATAATACATGAATTTTTTTTTTTTTTTTGGTAAAAAACAAGTGTATTAAATATGAAAAATATGTACGTACAATATGAGTATTAAATGTAAAAATACTAAATTATTTATATGGATAATTACTTTGGAAAAATAAAAGCTCAAAAGGGGACAATAGAGACTCAAGTAATGGCCTAATAGTAATGGCCTAATAGTAATGGATAATATTCTAAACTACTCTTAAGCATAAAAAAAACTGGGAAAAACTTTTTTTTTTTTTTTTAAATCACAGTATCTATGCCAAGAGTATAGCCACACCGCTCGGAGATACTATTTATAAAAAAAATTATATTAAAAAAAACCCAGTAACGCCGCCCAGCTATACTCCTTATTATATTTAAAAAAATTCAGAGTATAGCCGCGCGGCCGTACTATTTATTTATTTTAAAAAAAGGGAGGAACCGCCTGTCTCCTGGCGCCCAGCGCGTGTTTTAATGTGGAATAGAATGTTTTTTAAAGTATAGCCGCTCTGCTATACGGCATATAATCTGATAATTACTTTATATAGTAATTATGTTTTAATTATTATTTACTTAGTGAATATTTAAATATATTTTATTTTTATTCAATAATTTGTGAGTATTTTTGTGTGTAATATTGAAAATTTTGTAAAAAACAAGTGCATTAAACATAAAAAAATATGTACGTACGTGTACAATACGAATATTAAACGTGAAAATGCTAAATTCTTTATATATAAAATAAAAATAAAAACCCAATCCCATATTACAATTTATTGTTTCTATAAAGGAAGACAAAAGATTAAAACAGAGACTTCATTTAACCCTTTGTCCTACAACCTATATGTACTTACTCTTCATAAAAATAACACAAAAGATCGTACTTTTTCAATTTTGATGCTTAAAACTATGAACCTCCATCAATCAGTCGGCAACTTGAACCTACAGACAGGGCACGTGTGACGCAACTTCAACCACTGAACGACACAGTCTGCATGAAACAAATGAGAGCATGGCATGCACGTGACTTCTTCCCCACTCAACATCTTCTCCATGCAGACCACACAATACTCACTATTAGTACCATAATTTACTCCATCAATTTTGATTAACTTCGCTAATGCCTCGACCGAAGCTTTCGTTGCAGGCTTTAGCCTAAGCAGTCGAGTTTGATGGTCATCTGAGAGCTCCTCCATCAACATCCCCATTTCTATCAATATTTCATTTACATCCAAACTTCCTTCATAATCATTAATATTATTGAGCATCCCTGCAGCGGCTGCACGTGACCTTATTTCATTCAAATGCGACCGAACCAATCGCCACCTTAAAGCATCAACACTACTCGTAGCTTGGTCACGTGCCCCCTCATGTGGCTGTTGTAGCAAACCTTCACGTGAAAGCATAGAACGGAAATCCTTTAACATATGTTCAACCTCCCTCCTTGCAACCATTGCATCATATTGTTGCTGTGAGATCTTAATCTGCTTGTCAACCGTGACAATCACGTCCAGCTTCTTACGTTGTCCTGCACTAACCATCCGATCAATGACCCGTCTTATGTTCTTGATCGTGTCGTCAACACTGTTCAACGGCTCAGTGTCCTTCACAAAACGACTCGGTTTCCAGCGTAGCCTGTCTAATGGGAATGAGATGTGTAACTCATGTAACATATTGGATATAATTTCATGTGACGGTAACGATTGTAGAGCATTAAATTTGTGTGTTGTGTCCGGGTCTGTGATCGGATTTCTCGATCGAGTGGTGGTGCCAGTACCATCTTGAACAACATGGTAGCTCTTGAAGACATTCCAAGCAATTGAGACTTGAGGAAATTTCACAAGGGATTGATCATCTGGGAAGCCTCTGTTTTCTACCATCACAACAACACTATAGTCATGGTCGTTCGTGTTGGGATTGAAAGCCTGCATGTTTAGGTCAAAAAGAGAGAAGAGCTATGCGTTGAAAAGATTTTATTCACTCTGAGGTGATGTTACTCTTTTTGGGGTTTTCTACCTTTTATATATTGGTGATCCATGTATGAATCTGAGTAGGATTAGGATTATCAGTTTCATATTTTTCGTTTATACTTGGAAAAGAAATCAATTTCATTACTCAATCAGTATTAGTTTCCTTTTAGGAAAAGAGTTCGGCGAATAATAAACCTTAGACAATTAGGTTTCTATCGACTTTTTATTTATTAAAAAGAAAACCTTAGACAATTAGGTAAGTTTTCTTGGTAGTTTTGAGTCTTTATTTATTTAAAAATGTCGGTTGGGTCAATCGGTTGATTCGTCTGCCTACACGCCTTTAGGGTACCATTTTAACTGAGGGACTTTGCTGGTCGGGTCTGAGCTTTTGGGTGTGTAAGGAACGTTGGGGGAGGAAAAAGGGTTTGTGAGGAAAAGGGGGTTTTGGGAGGTACAGTAAAGAGTTCCTGGCCATGGTCGTTGGGTTCTTTCGAAGCCGGTAGTTGAAGATGAGGGTACAATGAAAATTTGTTTCAAGGTTGAAGGTCTTTCTGGTAATTAGGCTTTGGATAAGGTACCATAAGCCTAAGGTACCTAAAATTCTCTTATTGTCACAGTAAAAATTAAATTAAAAAAAGCTAATTGAACGTAATGTACACGAACATTCAAGATATTTCATTTTTTATTTTATTTTTATACAAGTGATAATGGAGAAGTAAATTGAACATAAAACCTCAGGCGCATGAGAAAAAAATACTCTTAACCACTTGAATTATAGCCACTTCGCTTCATTTAGTTTTGGATAATGTGGGTAACTTACGAGCTTCCACATAAACAACTTGGATGCTCACAATTTCATGAGGACCCCATGTACCAAAAGAAAAGGATCTACAAAAACAACAATGGGAATGTTAATCTTCATTTAAATGATTGCAAAATTTATGAATATTTTCCATGTGAATCATGTTCAATTCCATAATTACTGCCTTAGGCATAATATACAAATTACAAAATGAGTTGATACAAATCTTAGCACTAGAAATTAAAAGTGTACAATTATTAAAAAACACTAAAGAAAAACAAAAATACTCTTCAATCATTCTTGATTGCACTTCATTAATATGCAAGTCATCAAGAACCACTAAGAAAACGTCAAAGAATTTGAGATCTATTTTGTCTAGTTATTCTTTCCTTTTGGCCCAAACCATGACAAGAGAGAAGCCCATCAAAGACATGATTACAGTCTGCAGATCACAGTTAAAAACAGTGAACATGTCAATAATACACCTGGGGCAACAAAACACAAAGTAACCTTATTTTTTTGGGACAATGTGTGTGCATATTGAAAGACAAAATGTGTGCATATTGCTTGGAAGATCTCTCCAAACTGTAGAAGAGTTCCAAGTCATCTTAGCCAATAATGAATTGGTGAAAAGAAAAAAAAATGGTTTTTAAGCCTAGACATTGACTCACAGAGATGGCCGGAGGCACTCCAACAAGTGGATCTTGGAAAAATCTGTTTGCAAGGGCAAGGGCCAGAAGACTGCTT